TGATGACTGACCGATTACCTTGTTTACTGATGGCAGACTTGGTTCAGAATCAGTATCCTCTTGTTGGAGTTTTACCCGGAGGAATGAGGAGAGATGCAGCACAGAAAAACCGAGCTAAGTTTGGGGTAATTGCTGGAAAAAAAGCCTGTAATAACTTACAAAGTTTTACAGTTATTATTCTGCTTTTTTGTTGAATCATATTGTTTCCTCCTGTGCTAATTTCAAAAGTACCGCTCTGTAGCTTGTCGACAGTCCTCGATTTAGCTAGTGCTAGCCACGTGAAAGTTAGAGATGATAACATTAGCTTTCTCACTCAGTAGCACCATTGCTTCATCTCGCCTGAGTAAATTTATATTAGGGGGAGATGTACAGTAGATATTTGCAAGTGTAAAATTGGGTAACGTTGGGGTAAATACAGTAAACATTATGATATGCTCTTTTGTTTTCTTTGTAATACTGTGCCAATTAGCTTGAAGTTAGTATTTAATAGCTTTCCTGACATTAATCAGATAATGTTGGATTGCATGGAACCTGTGTAAACGTATTAATTAAAGTAAGGCTTTATACAGATTTTTGGCCTAAATCAGATTTAATTATCCATAATTAATGATGTAAAGGTTGTCGGTGTTTTATTATATCCTAATTTCAATTTGAGGCCCCATCTCCAATCTGTCTGCCTTCACACCTTCAGACCTTCATTTCCCTGTGATAATTTACCTGAAACTACTCAATTATTAACTTAAATTAAATTAAAAATTCCACTCCATACCTTTAAATTTGGATGTTGTTGTTGTTGTTGTTGTATTGCATGCTTTCATCGCCTACTTCCTTCACGATGCTGTCATCAGTCATGTGATGGTATTTTCTGGTCTTTGTTTCTTTAATGTGATTTCTTGATGAGTCTCACTGTCGGGGTTTACTGGAGATTTTGGAGGCAACTACAGCAGAACGTGGGCGTGTTCTGCAGTTGTGAATGGCCCCTCTGCTCTGTATCTGTGAGGCACAAGGAGCATGTTAATAATTCAGTGCTGTGCCATGTAGCTCAGAGTTGGTTAATGAACACGGGGAGGAATCTCCCAGGCATATTGCTTTGATGTGGGCTATAGTGTGAGCGCTGTGTGACATAGTGCGGGGGGAAAGAGGAAGTTGCAGTTCGCGACAAAACGAGTCAGTGCTGGATTTATTATAGTTAAAAAAAATGATGCTGTGGTGGGCGGTCTTGTAGGCTCTCAAAGATAAGTTGAATTACAGATTCAGAGGAGGAGACTCTCTCTTTATCCTGTCCTAGGAGAGACATTTATGTTTCTTGGTGCTGTGATGCTGAACAAGCACCTTTTTTAACAGTTGCAGTATCCTTTTAATGATTATGTCTACAGGAACACAAAGAGCAGACCTCGCCTAATCAGCCAGGTTTCTCCCGTAGTAGATGACATCTGTGCCGTCGTCACTTTCCCGCACCTAAACTAGATAAACACAATCGCATCACTGAATATGGTTCAAATTTATAGTATAATATGGGTCATGGCTCATACGTATTGGTTACTCTGTACACCCCCACATTTTAAAGACAGAATTGGTAACCAGCTTTTAAAATAATCAATAGTTGGGGCAGACAGTATGATTGTTTTTTTCTTTTTAAATGGCATATGTGATGTATACCAGGAAGTTGGTATGTTTGTGTATATATATTGTAATGAAGTGAATTTAGTAAATTCAATTGAGAATCATTTTATAGATAAAATAACTTCACATTTTTGGTTTTCTGATTTTGGCAAATTTAACTGAATAAATATCTGACTAATCAAGTTGCCTCATCACATAAAACCTGCTATAACACTTGTTTTTCTACTTGAGGAAATCAGGTTGTGAACACAACGTTGACATATTATCACATTTTAAGTTGATGTGGCGTTCATGCCGGAAAGCGGTTGCTTATTTGCACAGCCAGCAGTGACGCAGCAACACCAGCTTTCATATTCACTCTCTTGTTTTAGCTCCTTTTGGTGCTGAGCAGGTAGTGTACATGGGCTCTTATACTCAACCACAACCACCTAACCAGCTAACCAGCCTCCTGTGGCCAAAAATTATGCTATGTGAACGATGATAGTGAACCAAAACAGTGAAGTTATGAGCGGACAGCTGAACGATGAGCTGAAACCCACCATTTAAAGCCTCGTAAAGCTCCGTAAAGCCGAGGAGAGCTGTAGATTCAGGTGATAATTCTCTGTAGGTTCATCGTTATGAGCGAACCCCCTTTACACTGTCACATTGTTTTCACATTGGCACCTGATACATTATTATAAAAATATTGATAATAGCTCCAGAATTACTTCACGCAGTTCTACACATTGATTTTTTTTATTCAATGGTCTCACACAGCCAGAGATATTATTATATATGTGATGGTTGACTAATTTCTTTTGTCTCGTGATACATTTTGTCATATTGCCGAATTCTAATCAGGAAATAGTGTAATTTAGTATTAAAACATAACCATTAGTTGCAGCCTTGATGCCTACAGACTGATACCATGTCACAGTGTCTGTGTGAAAGGGATGTTTGTGGCTCCCCAGCGCACAGAGCCGTCTCCAGTCCTGGTGTGATTTCCTATCAGAGACTGCAGAGGCTCTGGGGGCTTTCAGCTCAGACCTTTTCCATCTTGCCTTAACACAATTGCATCTCTTCACTGCCACCCACAACTCATTCCCTCTCAAATGCCCACCAGTCCTTCTCTGAGACTGCAGCAGAGGTGCAGGATGAAAACCATTTGAAAAGAGGCCTCTCCCAGCAGAGGTCCCGTTGGCATGGAAACGGCCGTCTTTGTGAATGGAGGCTTCTCTTACACGCTCGGTCAGAGGTTTCCCACTGTCTCATGGTCCAAGAGGACCCTGTCAGACGTCCATACAAGCTACAATTTAACCAAACCTGGGTTTATATAATACACTTTGTTGTTCTCTACAGGTTCCTAACTGTGGATAAGATTGTGGATAAGATTGTGGATAAGATTGTGAGTCTGCAGGTCTTTCGTTTGGTTCCCACATATGTGACTACTATAGTGCTCTTATTCATCTGCTGGTCACACTGAATATAGGGGCAGTGTGGGCCTAAAGTTTAGAGAAATGGACATTCAAAAGCTTGCTGGATCAAGCTCTTGTTTCTCAGTGTAATCAGTAGAAACTCACAGGGTTTCTCTGAACTGATTCCATAGCATGGCGGGATTGATTTAAAAAAAAAAAAAAAAAAAAAAAATCTGATTAGTGAGTAGTCTTCCTATATTTTACATTTCAGCTCATCACATTGGTTAACTAATATGTGGGTTTTCCAGCTAAATAAGCTTTTGCCCATTACTGAAAAATGCCATGTGTCTTTAATTACCACTGGAGTTTAAGAGATTTTTACGAGTGCATTGATTTGTGGGTGGACAATCATACAGAAGTGTCTGTAATTAACAGCCTGCTGGATGAAGGGATATTGAAGAAATGTGGATTAGGATTACATTTGCTTTATATGTAGGTTAAAATATAAAGAGAAATGTGCATCAAAGAACATTAATTGCCTTCATAAAAAAGCACTTTGAGCCCAATCACTTACTTGATTATCCAAATATTGCAGTTGACCTACATGCCACTACAAAGTCAAATGTTGAATAGCTACCAATTAGTAATTGTAAAACAGAAGTTCTTTTTGTTTCAACAAACGCTTTATTATAATAACACACATGATTAGATTTGCAGTGCTCTGTGGACCAGGATAGAGAACCACTGACCTAATTATTCATTTCCAAGTTCGGTTTCATCAACAAAGAAGCCAAGGTCGGTGCAGCATCCTGTCCTCGTCTTTTCCCTGCCATGCAGGTGTTTATAGTTGGCGTGCTCTTCACTGTCCTCCATACTGAGACCAGAAGTGATGAGTTTAAAGTGTGACTGTACTGTTTGGGATATTAATAATGTCTCTCAGAAATGTGCACCTTTTTTATGGTTGTAATTTTGCCCTGATAATATCCAGTTTCAGCATGGCCAAACTAACCTAACCATTTGTGGCAAAACATTGTAATTTTAGTGTTATTAGTCTGTTTGAGGATTCAAAACATTTTACTTACTGGAAAATCTTTGAGGTCACTTCAGGCTACAGTTTGCCAACCTAAAAACTGCCTAGAAATCATCAAATTTTTGAAGTTATTTAGATCACAGTTCTTTGGCCCACATTTTCTTTCTTCTGGATGAATTATTAACTGTTTATCACAGTTAAAGTAGGTTGGATCACACTTACTGTAGCTCTAAAATGCATCTGGTGTGAATTGACAGCTTTACGTAGACGTGAATGAATGCACTGATTAGGGTCAGACTTCTCCGGCTCAGTTGGACAGACAAGTATGATACCGGATATCATGTTATGTTCTTTGTTCCATAAATTAAATATTTTACCCTGTTCCTCTTCAGATTATTTTGGTGTGATAAAGAATTCGAGGCACTATAGGAATGTGTTGCATTGTCATGGTAGGATATCCTCCCTCAGACTCGACCTGGGTGGCTTTCCGCTGGGGATGCCGGCAGCTGGCGGCTCAGTTAAAGTGCCTTTAAGTCTATTAGAGAGGATAATCCTTGAGGGAGAGTTCAGTGAACAGAAGGAGTGGGCAAAACAGTCTGTCAATTCACTTTCCTCACTTTTGCCATGTGATTGTATCTCTTGTACAGTCCCTCCTGACGCAGGCAATCGTTCGCACACATGGCCACCATATGCTTTCTTCTTTGCTCCCTAAAAGAGGGCCTCTCTAAACAAGACATTAAAAGTCTAGAGAAACAATGACGTGTGCACTGCGTGATGTCTCGGTCTTAGTTCTGCTCCAAAAAAACGGGCTGTAAAAAGATCTGTGAGGTGCATTCTTTGGACAAGATTAACGTTAACAGGGATGTTTTGTTTCTTTCTCTGCCGTTGAATGTATTGTTTGTAACCCACAGTTGTTTTCTCACCTTTTGTTGCTTTCTCTACATTTTCTCTAGCCTCCCACCTTCCACCTTCACTGCCCCTGGCTCAGTTGGTGGCTCAGCATCACTTCAAAGAGGAAGGTCTGCAGAGCTGCAGATAACACACTGTACCCCCAAGCACCGGCAGGCTTTTCCAGAGCCCCTACGCAGTCCCTCGACCAACAGGTTTGGCCCTTCTATGTCTTGTAGGAAACTGTTTCTGCTGCTTTGCTGGTCTTTCTAGTGTTGCTTTCCCTCTAGTACCTCTCTTGCTGCAATTTTCCTTGTTCTGGTGAGCCCCCAGGTTTAAATGTAAACTTAAATTGCATTGTCACCTCGCAGCATTTGTATGTACTGTTGGAACTTGAAAAGATGAAAGGAATTAATAACTTGTTGGTGTTTTCTCAGGAGTCTTTTTTTATTACGCAGGTGTTTTTAACTTTTTAACTCTTTTAGTTATCAATAACATCATTATGTCATACCACAAAAATCCTCTCTAAATGAGTTTTTGTAGTGTGGTTTTAACTTCTACAGTTGAGTCACAGATTGTGCATAATGTCATTAGTACTGACTGATCTGATATAGATCAGAAATTGGTTCTTTTTCTAAAATTGACTAATAATGACTTAATGATCCTGCATATGCCACAACTTAAAAAATGCTTTTCCGAATTATTTGACTTGTTTTAAAGGCTTTAGTGTATTTAACTGGGATCAGGGATTGATTACATATTATCTTACCCTCTGCGTGCCTCTGTGACTCATCACATAGCAACTATAAAGCTACAGTAGTGGTGTGAATGGTTGGCTTCGATGTAATTTACTTCAATTCACGACCCTGTGGTTGGCAGCCAAACACTAAATAAATGTAGTACTGAGTGCAACACTACTCTTTTACAAGTTCAAAAAGAAATAGAAGTAGCTTTAAACTTGCCTAAAAAAACAAGAAATTCTAATATCTTGTACTGGCCAATTCGATTCATTGGTGGATTTAAGCAAATCATTGTGTGTGTATGTGTATGCTCAACCCCTACAAATGATATGGAAGACAACGGATAGCGGCTTTATGTTGGAGTACTTAAAGTATTTTGCTAATGCTCACCTCACAGTCATGGCATCTGTTGGCTTATCAGTGTTTCCATGGCAGCAGCACCTTACTGCTCAGGTTCCTCATGATTTCCTCTGGGATGAAACACCTCTTACTCGGCTCTCTGAGAACATCTCCTGTCCGTCTGTGGATTTCTGTGGCACATACTCTGTCTCTAGTGGAAATACATGTTGTCCATGTCATCAGGTGCCAGATAAATCTTGCCAAATGTACCATCAGTGTTTAATATAAAGGTACCACCTGGTTGGAAATGTGCACCCACTAAATGATTTTGTGTAGTGGCGAGTGAATTTCCTCAACCTACCAGCCACAGTGGCGTGTTTTGTTGTTGTTGTGACACTTCTTAATGCAGATTGAATTGTGAGTCTGCTCGTTTCACCTGACCATCAGGTGCACCACATGGATGGATAAAAAGAATAATAAGAGAGAAATCCAGGTGGGCCGGTCGCTCTGTGAGCCACTTGAGCAGCCCATTATATAAAAACAAGAGCGAGAGAGATGCGTTGTTGGCCCACTTTGATTATGCACCAGCCTACACCCTCCTCTCAGAGATCCTCAGTGAAGTTCAACAGTTGGTCGAGGTTTTGTAGCTGAAGCTGTAAGAAAGATAGAATAAGTAAGGATACGATAAACAAGCATGAATAGTGATGACTTTCACTTAGCATTGGCAAATTAAAGACTGACCACAATTGTTAGACCATTTCTCTTGCACAAGGATTTTATGAAGGAACAAAACCTACAGAAATTACAAATATTAGTTGTTTATTTCTTAAACTGCTGTATTGTTCAATTGGAAAATAATGTTATAGCAGTGGTTTTATTTAATGTTATACTAATACACTTATACTTACCCCTCCAGCTTGTGGATAGTGCATCTGTAGTGGACAGATGGACATTAAGAGCCAGGATGCCAGTGTCTTGATGCCAATATGTGCTCCTTCTCCAGCCTTCCTAAGAGCAACACATTCCCCTTGTTCTATTTTACATACATTTTACTAAAGTTATTGTTATTAATATTGTTCAGTAATCATGTTGAAGTGTGACGACATAAAGTCTGAATAGAGTAATGCTAGAATATTGTATGTTTTCATTTTTTTTACATTCAGTTACAAGAAAATAGCTGGTATACAAAATTAATAGCTGGTAGAGTTTGAAATCCACCAGTCACAGTGACACGTGGACAAAAACATTTCCAACCCTGCACCTGATGTCATGTAGAGAGAATGAGTATTAGGAAAGAATGTATGTACGGTGTGTGCAACGTCTAATAATAAACTCCACTAAACTGTTGGACTAGTTGTTGGCGTCACAGGAAAAGGAAAGGATTATATCAGGAGTCTACATGCTGAACAAATGAATACTCACCTTTGAAGACATTCAAGTGATATATAATATGTCTTTGTTATTCTCTGCCAATAGACACACATTGCGGTATGCCTCTCCAGGCAAATTGATTGTTCACCCTTTTAATTTAAACATAAAAGATTGGAATAATATGTTTTTTAGACCTGCTTTTTATCTTGCTATGTGATGAAATGTGATATTTACATACCGATTACTCACTGACTCATTATTTGTAGCTCCTGGAACCAGTACAGTTGAATATTTATAATAAACAAGCTTCCAATGCAATAACATGGGTAGCATTAGAAGTAGTTATAACTTCGGTCAATTACACAGCACATCTAACCGAAAGGAAAGGTCACATTTAGAAATTCATACAGAGAAAGTAGACTTCAGGCTTTCACTAGGATCATGGCTTTTTTTCCTCTTTACCATATAACAGTGTAGTTTATTTATAGTATAACATCGATGCAAAGACGGCAGCGCAATTAATTATATCACTGTCATCTTCATCACGCATCTACCATGATCACAATCACCGTCACCATTGCTGTTGTCACTGTTATTCATAAAAAAAACTAAAGATGGTGCCTCTTCAACTTGTAATGAAAAGGATGAGAGCGATGTCTGCAAAAGATTGAAATGAATGAATGAGAAATAATAACATTAATCAAGCCTGAATCAACAGCCTGAGACAAACATGTATGATCTTTCTCTTTCATTAAATCTGCCTCCTCTCATTAGTTTCTGTTTTTCTTTGTAATGCTCTGCATGCATGAAATGTGAGCTAGCTGCAGATGTATAGTTTGTTTTTTCTCGAACTACTGAGACTCACAGCTGCATGATTTTGATTGTCAGGTCTCAGTTGTGTGGTGTAGAAAGCTCCTGGAATTGGAGGAAGAAGCCGTTGAGAAGGTGGGGTCGAAGAGGAAATGAGGCTGCATTCCAGCAGTGATTTATGAAGTGTCTTTCATTCTCTCTGTACTCCTGGCTAGTTTGCAGCTGCTCCAGACAGCTCCCTGACTGTAGTAAAGCTGGACCAATCCCAGCACAGATATTGAAAGGAAGTCAGTATTTGCCATGTGAGCAAAGTTGATACTGCAAGGAAAGCTAAGTGATTAGCATTGCTAATTTGAAGATTCACCTGCGGCTCTAGAGTTTTTCTTTTTTTGTTAAAAATCCCTTCACTCTTTGGTTTTTGCTAATACATCATCCCTGTGTAACTTTAGGCAGAAGCTTGCATACGCCCTTGTCATCTCCATTTTGAGGTTTTTATTCACCGAGGAAAAATCCTGAATAAAGCTCTCATGTGGACAACAGAACTTGGAACAAAAAGTAAATGCTCACAAACTACAGAATGAGTCACGTCTTAATGTGACTAGACGAGGCCTGTTTTATCATTAATCTGTAAGAGACTGGAGCACTGCTGTATGAGAACATGCTAACCAGACTGGGCTTGAAGTTCACACCTGCCACAGGAATTGAAGATATTGTTAAACCCCTGTGGGTTGTTTGACTTTGTTGGAATAACAGTCTAATCTACAATATACAATATGTTTGGTATATTATGATTGCAATGGAAACTGTTGAGTGACCTAAGATTGGATTAGCCACTCCAAATATTTAGCATTCACCAATCAATTAGTTAGGCATTTCAGTATTAACGTTGACAGGCTGTTCTTTGCTGGGGCAAAGATCTATTTTTACATTTTATTGTACGGAATGAAATCAAAACAATTAAGGCTACTCTGACTTCTCCAACTGTACCTTTTTTCTTTTCCACATTACTCATGTTTCGAATGTTATGTAGAGTTTAGCCAAAATTTCCAAAAGAAAGGGACAATTATTCTGAAGAGGGACCTAATGCAGTAATGTTATCAAGAGTCCTATTATGCTTGGGTCACTTAGGTAATTTTAGTATTTCCTTGCAGTTCTAAGTTATCTTTGTTACGTAACTTTTGTAGTTTATGTGCTGTTTAATTTGGTTATGTGAAAGAATGAAGAAGAAAGGACGTCCATTAGGTTTAATGCTGACTGAAATTTGAACCTTTACATCAGACTATGGAATGAAGTGTATATCACTTCTGTGTCTTCTAGATGAATGCACACACAAGTGCATTTACAAGTTGAGATGCTTACAATTTGTCTTCCCTATACAAAGTTCACAAATTCTGGATGAGAGCAATGAATTTGTTCTCTGAAGACAGTTGCATAACTCAGTGCTTCTCTCATATTTTGACCAGAGTTACTCAGACTGAACTGAGGCCAGGAAACACGGCAGTTGCAGTTCTCCATGAGGATTTTATTTGGCACATCCAGACACAGCTGACCCAGACTGACAGCACTGTTGCATGTGTCCATAACCTCTGTGCCTGCCTCACTCAAAGGTCTCTGGGAAACATTCACAATTTTTCCTAGAAAGCCGTGGGTTATCCCCTTGAAATAGGGGTTAAAAGGTGGCTTATTTTGTTTCTGAACAACATAGGAGTTGGCTAACATGTAGCCTGCAGAGTGAGTGAAACAGAAGCGGCAGCCCTTTGTGTCTATATTAAGGAGACAGAGAGCGGTTTTTGAGACTCTCTCAGACGAACTGTCACTAGTATAGCCCCATATATAATAAAAAAGTGTATACTTTGTACTCTACTCTTGAGGCCAAGTGACACTGGCTTAGTTCTAATTCTTCTATTCATCTTGGAAGCATTATTTTTTGGCATTTTGCCATTATCAGATAGTGAAAGAGTAGATACAGACAGGAAACACGAGGAGAGAGAGAAAGGTATTACATGCATTAGAAGTCCCTGTCTGGAATTGAACTGGGGACAGTATGGCCACGTGGCACGCATCTCAACTACGGTTGCCTCTGAATACTCAATGATTCGAGTCATCAGTCGAGAAGTACCTGAGTCGACTGATGACAGCATGGGAGGCTGTTAACTTTACAGACCTCAAAATGACCACAAAACCAACTGTGATGGAAGCAGAGAAGAGTTATAGTTAATGGAGGGCAAGGTGACGCCGGGCAGCGGCTGCTCCGATGTGTGAAGTCGACTGACCCACTTTTGGTAGTTGTTGGTGGTACAACCTCTGCTGTCGTCCACTGTGAATGACAGGAAGGACGTGCCGTGGTGGGCTGGGATTTTATAACTGAATTATCCACACTTAGGTCTCAGTTATCTCAGCCACTAGGCCTCCAGGTTTTGGGAATTTGTGTGGCTAGCAGTTGTGTTTCATTGGTTGTACCCATGAACTATGAACCTTTGGTGATATGAGCTGTATGTGTATGGATGATGCATTAATTATAGTTGGTACCTTGGACGAGCCAGGCATGTTTTAATGGATTACTATTGACTAAATTAAGCGGATCAAAATCTGATCCTTTCTTTACTGAACTTAACTGTTCTTTGTCCACCTCAGCTTTCTAGTGCCGATGCCCAGTTAAACTTTTTTTCATATATCAAGCTTTGATTTACAACTGTAGTTTGTAAATCTAGAAGGCTACTTGTTTTTTGAGTGTATAAAATACACATTGTAGTAATGTTAAGAACACAGATTGGGATTGCAACAAAAAGACTTGATTTACCTAGAAAATACAGCCATACAAAAGTCATTTGGATAGTCATGTCTTCTTTCATAACACACAAAAAGTCAAACACCAAAGAGTATGAAAATATTTATCTCCAAGTTTTATTGTTTCTCACTGAATCTGCCTTTCCGCACTTCTGTATAAAAATGATCTTTTCATTGGCAGTCTATAACCCCTCATCACATCAAGATACATCCACTTAATGCAACATCATTTAAAAAAAAGGGCTTCTTTGCAATTTCAGTTATGCACTTCATTGCAAATAAAATAATCCTGAATTGTGAGGATTTCAGTCTGTCTTTCTTTCTGTCTCACGGTTATCAAATGTCAAACAGCTGGATAGCCTGTCTAGGCATCTGCTCATTTCCCAGAACTCGATGTCCATATCCAGTTTTGTTTACGTCAACTTAGAAATCCTATTCTCTTTACACAAGCCAGCTCCTTGGCACTGCTGGGGAGTCTAGTGGGCCTAATTATGTTTGTAGGCAGCTGCTCCTTTTCTCATATTAGAAACACCTTTATCTATGTTTTGACCTGTTGTCGAGCAAATTATACCCTAGGGTACAGGAATAAGCTATGCACTATTGGACGATTCGTGCAGTGTTAAAGACCAACATATGGATTGGGTTAGAAGGATCACAGGGGCTCTGAGACAGGGGTTTTCTACCAGTATAGACTAACTCTTGATGATATACAGGTGACTGGTGTTTCTAGATTAAAGTGAAGTACTGGAATTAGATTTAGTTTTTGCTGAAAAAGGACACAATTTTATCCTTTTTGTTGTTGTTTTTCAATGCGCTCTTATTTGGTCACATTTGTAATGAGAAGACATTTTAAGATTTATGAACTTTTCTGCAGTGATCACACTCCCCGCATTGGTCTTATTCAAATTCCTCCAATACTGCCTAAAATACGGTATTGTGTTTCGACATGTACGTGTGGCCGTGCACTGATCTGATACCACGTAATTTATTAGGATCAACACAGGAGCCTACCACTTCGTAGCAGTTTGGCTTTTTCCCCCCAGGATAGTCATGAGCCACCGTACTCCGAGTCTGACAAAGGGTTTAAGCCAGGCCATACAACAATGATAGCAATAATACAACATTTCTTAACACACATGTATTATACCTGTACTCGCTATCAGCCAACACACAAAGTCCAAGAATCTGTATCGGGAAGGAAAAGTGGTATCTGAGCATCTCTAGTGTTTTAAGGGGCACAAATGTTTATATTCCTTACAATGTCTGTACTGCGTTGCAGTTAATTGGCCAAAGGGCCAACATTTTTAGCCATTGCCTAGGCGATCTGTGATTTGAGCAGTCAGTTACTCAGATGACTCCATACTCCATGCTGAGGTTACAGGACTACTTGTTGCTGCGAGTTTTGACAGTTTGGTAATTTGCCATCACCACTACTGGACCCACGAAAAACAGAAATCTAACACCTGCTACACACCCACCCACCCACTCTGTAACGCTACTGTACTGTTACTGTATTACCAACAACTCCCAACAGTTTGATACCTCTTCTCTCTAGCCAATCATGTCAGTTTCAGGAGTCACATTCTCCTGCTTACACTCATATCATATGATTTATAGAAGCTTAAAAAAACACAATAATAGCTTTGAATCAGGACCTCAGGATGAAGAAACGTGTGAAAAGCAAAGTGTCAGTTTTAGTAGGCAGCAGCTGTCAATGTGTCAGATAACATCTTTAATTCCAAGTAGAATCAAATCCTTACATTTAGGTAAATCTAAGCATTTGATTGTATTTGGAAAGTTCAAATTCCAGTGATTTTTAAACTTGCTCTTAGCTGTGCACTGGTCTACCAGCAGCTGCCCCCTGTTCACTTCCCACCAGACGAGACAGAGGAAGAGCTGGCGCATCTGTGGTGGTGACTCACTCTTACACGCTGGTGCAGGTGTTGCATATTGGTTGTTCAATTGTTCTGTTGTAGATTTTGTTGGCAAACCTTTTAAAAACTGGCGTGTTCTGTCGGGGTTTTGGAGAATACACTGTGAAATCCCACCATCCTTATCTCACTACTCTGGCCCGCTTGCTTTCTCCTCTCGTATTGCAGACAGTCCCTTGGCCTGTTAACTCTTCGATGACCTTTGAGATTACTGCACTGACTGTTCCTTTTCTGTCTTTGTCCACAGAAAGAATCAACTCTTAGAGTGGGACCAGGAGACGAGAAGACCAATTGTGGCCTGAACAAAGACAGACAGAGAGAACTGTAAGTAAACACTGTAACCGTGCGAGCATCTCGGAGGCCAGGAAGTTTTTCTGTGAATGTAACTTGTGCTCAATGCAGTGCTTATCGTATAGGTTTACACACAGGAATAGTGAGATTTGTTGTTGTTTTCAAATGGGCCAGAGTGCTCATGTGTTTGTTTTTAAGTAGATGATAAAGAAACAGTCTCTTCTTGGTGGATCTTAGTGTTTCTGAATCTAAAAAGGTTGGGATGAAAGTATAAAACAGACGGCAGGAAATATCTTGCATATTTAAGCATTTATTAAGCTCCTTGCGATCATATCTGTATTCTATATATCTCTCTATATGTCTGTGAACAGCAGTTTGCTCCCAAGCTTTGTTTTCAGCCAACAAAACCTGGAAATTATGAAAAGTAGCCTGGCAAATATCCAAGTAGGCTAGTACTTCTTGCTAATGCGACGACCAAAACCGCTGTTTTGAACATTGACAAAAATAAATGGATTCAAGTTTATGTCATGTTGGTGTTTCTTGTCAACAGCTGATGGGGATGTAAGCTTGAATCCAGTTGTGTCCTAGCAACACATCCCCCATTTAAGGGTCTGTTATCAAGTAAAATCATTCCCCCTCCACCATGGTATTAGCCACCATAAATAATTTCTCAGCCTTTTGGAAACACTAGTCGTAGTAATACTGAATTCATTACATACCAAACTTCATTACAAAGGGCTTTACAGTAATGGATCAAAATGATTGCGAACTATGTGATCTCACAAAGGCTCTTTCTTATATGGTCTTGTTTTTTAAATTTTCTTGGGGGGGGGGAGGGTTTCATGTCTTTATTTAGATAGTGAGAGCCTTTTAAGATAGACAGGAAACTGGGGAGAGGGAGAACAAGAGAGGGAGAGAGAGAGAGAAGGGATGACATACAGCAAAGGGCTGTAGGCTGGAACCTGGACAAACAAGGACTCTGCCTAAGTACATGGGACACAAGCTCTACCAGGTGAGCTATCAGTTTATATTTGTAAGTAATGCAAAATGCACGACCACAGGTTATTTTAGATCAAAGGCTTGTTGTTTCAACTTTTACATCATTGGGCACATATGCTTCAACTCTGCAGCTACTACAACACATTTTTATAGAATAGTATCTAGTTCTAAAGGCTTGCTGTCACTATGGCTTCCCATCACATGTCCTTAGAGCCCAAAGCGACATCTTCAAATTGCTTGTTTTGTCCAGCCAACAGTCCACAATCCAAAGACATTAAGATGTTCAGTTTGCAGTGATATGAATCAGAAAAAAGCAAATCAAACAATCGATCATCCAGTTAGTTGCAGATTAGTTGTCTGTCATGATTGAATAATTGTTTCAGCTCTACATGCGACATCATATTAACCTTAATATCTCAACCTCAGTATTATTCCTGGCTTATCTTTCCTTTATTGTGTAGTCCTCAGCCTTTTGCTGTTGTTTTTAAATAGCAGTGTTTTTATTTTATGAGAGAAAGTGAAACCATAGTGTTGCAAAAGCCTTAAATGTCTGACATGTTTCACATCAGGGTGCGTGGCCCACATTAGCTCCCTTAGTGAGGATGTGTAAACCATGTGTCATCTAATGAAGCGGAAAAAGGTGCCACAGAGATCAAGGAGGACAAGAAAATGATCACTACAGTGGATGTACGGAAGGCCCCACCCTGTGTTTCATTGTCAGCATCTCAGGCAGGATGCAGACCTTTCACACTTGCGCACGAGACACAGTGGAAGTTGTTGGGGTTGTTATGAACAAACAGGAGGTGAATTAACTCAGAGGCATCCTATGTGTGTGATGGTCTTTTGTGGTAGTGTGTGTGTGTGGAAGCAGGGAGCTGAAAAGGCACACGAATAGCTGCAAAAGATATAAGTAGTAGCCTTTTCTTGTTTAAATAGCTTTCGATTTTGTTGTAGCTTTATACTTTTTGTCTTGGATACATTTGGCTCATTTGAAATTTTGCAAACCATGTATTATATATTGGCAAACTCTAGTTATCAAATGTTCTGTAAGATTAACTTAGGCACAGTAACATTTTGGTAAGTCAGGTTGCAAATGATCATCATTGTGTACCTTGAGTTTGATCCATGTGTGGTTGCTGACAATGACGTCGTGGCCGAAGGCATACAGTTAATGTGTTTATGATGCATTCAGTGCTCATTGCTATAAGTCGGATTCTTCCTTAAAGCCACGAGTGTGGTGCAAGTCTTGAATTATTCATCTCAGGCACGCGCTGGTGGATTAAAGGTAAAGTGATAGCACATAGCAGTGCCTTTCTTGGCTTGCTGCTGCATTTTTAAAGTGTGGACTGGCACTCAAATGTCAAAATGTTAACATTGTCTCCCCCTAAAACTATTACCCTGGTCTCAAGGACCAGATAAAGGAAATTTGATATGAAGTTTGAATAATTCAGGATGATGGTCTGGGATTGAATTTTCATCCAAGTGCAACTCCCCTATTTGTATCCCAGTGTTATCTCCTTGTGCTCGAGACTCGAAAGGTATAAATGATGCATTTGTTGCAAACAATAGAGAGAAATGACAAATATTTCATCTTGAAACAAAATCACTTTGATATTTGTTCAGTCATTGTATTTTTCATGCGTCTGCTTGTTACATTTGCCAGAAGACATTTTGCTTGAACATGAAGGAACAGAATATAAGTGAATTCCAGTAAAAAGGTGACCGTGTCCAGCAGGATCCCTGTGGGAAGAAGTGCACTGCTGTCATTTCCTATAAAAGTCCTTTTTTAAAAAAAAAAAATTGAATTTGAATTTGAAACTGCTTCCTAAGCAGACAGTTGAAAGGGACTGAGATTTAGCCGTCCTCTGTGTCACTCCCTAATCAGTCCCACACCTCTCACCCACTCATTCTCTGTAAATAATTCAGAACAGCCTTTTTGCCTGCTCCAGACAAGAACGTACACACAATTGATAATGGAGGATAGCTGGGGGCAGTAAAAATCATTGCTGATGCACATTTTAAGAGTCCAGGAAGTTTAATCGGGACGTCTTTTGCAAGTGATTAACTTCATGTTTATTGATGCAAATGACCACGTAGGTAAAACAGTTTGGAAACTACGTGAGATGCCATATGTATCTTCTTTAAACAAATTGTCAAATCGTATACATCTAAAGAAGAACAGCTATTCTCAGTGTGAGCCAAATGGGTCAGCATATTAAAATAAGGCATGACAGTACGGACAGTAGGTCAGTACTGACTGTAGCCAGCCCTACTTGCTTCAGGCTCTGTAAATGTGGGTAAATAGTCGTGTATGGTTGTGTGGACGTGTGGTGCACTTTTTAAAGACTTTGCTCTAAGAATGTCAACTTCATGATCATACAGAAGGTGAGTAGAAGTAACAGAGGCTTTATTTTTATTTTTTTATGACGTTTTTGTGGCTGAAAAGTGTAGGTGAGTGCTGTGTTAGGGATATTGGGCAGGGGGTCTGTAATCAAATCAACTCACTTTCATCCCTGTGCTTTGGGGCCCACTCTATGTAAAACTAAGTGTAACAGGAAAAGATGGGTGTTTTTTGTTTTGTTGATGTGAGGATCTTTGTAATCCTTTCGAGGGGTGTGGTTAACACTTTCTCAGCCATTCATGGTTTGGAGATCCTGTTGAAAACAGGAAATATAACTTTGTCGTTTTGTTGGGCAGACAGGAAGTTGTGACTTTACTACACCTTTTAGCTTTGGCCTGGTGCCAGAATTTGAGTCCTTAAGATGTTGAAATCTATCTTTATGTGCAATTTCATGATGTTATAATATATGTGTTATTATATATATTGTGTTAAGACTCATTACAGGCCAGATTTAACCTGTGGGAGTCAAGCTTGCTGAAAAACTGACTGATGTTAGTTGCAGTCCTGCTTGAGTTTTCAGTCTTTGCCCACTAGAGTGCAGCCTACTCAGAGGAAAAGGTTGTCCACAAGCTCAGTCATATCTTCGTGGTCATGTTGAGGATTTTTTCACACAAATGCGTGCAGACATTGGAGAGATGGCTTGCATATGACATGATACAGACAGTGAAGGATCCACTCTTTGATACGCTCTCTGACTACAGCAGCATTTTTCTGTTCAGTTTGTCAAAATTTGGGAGTTTCAGGATAATTGAGGACCTAATTTGCAAGCCCACTTAAATGTATCAACTTCTAATTGGTTTCAAGAAATGAATGGCACCATGTTAATTAGCACACATTTGTCACTTGACTAAGTCCAAATCTTATTGCTCTGTCATAGTCATCACTTGGAGATTTAAACACTACAGATTAGGTGGATAATTTACATTGGGGAAGTTCCATTAACCAATTAATGGTTGTGTTGTTTTGTTTTGGGGAGTTTGTAGACTCTAATCTTTGTCTGTTAGACATTGGCAACAGTCTACCTTAATGTCTCATTAGTGGCTTCCCCAGTCTTCACAATAAATACTATAGATTTACTCATCAGACAGCAGACGCAGCACAATTGGCTTTATACTTTGAAGGGAATCATGACTTTAAGATGTTATTTTGTGGCTGTAAAGGTGGTAAAAAGAAACAGGGATGTTACTGGCTTTTAAATGTGCTTGATACAGCATTGGCATAATAGAAACAATTTGATTTTGTGACTCTGAAACTCTGTTGTCAAGAGATATATTTTATGGATTCTTTCTTCGTCATTCTTTCCTAGTTCAGCTAAGGCTTTAAGCATATAAATACATCTATTTACATGCCGCAGAGCAAATAAATACTATAAAATATGACTTTGTCAAACTCAAACCAAATGAGGTTTGAAAAAGAAGTCATTGGTAGTAGCAAAAAGTGACCTGTTTCAAGTAATTAATGTCCCATACAGCTAGGTATACAGTTCAGTGATAAAGAGGAGCACTGTTATTTGACCCTCTGTAAGATATCAAGGATTTATTTATATATATATATATATAAATATAAATATGCAGTTGACAAAAATCTTTGTTGACATTTCTCTCTTCTCAATATGAAATACTAAAAAGCTAAT